TATCTTGAGCTTTGTGCATGAAGTGACTGTTTTGAACAAGTGATTGAGTCAAGTCTATGTTGGTTGGTGAACAGAAGGGAACTCCTCCTTTGCTCGACTCTATTGCATTCGAATGTCATCTGTGGTGGTTGTCTAGGTTGTTGTTCGAGTTGCCATGTGTTGATGATCGAAAGCCAGTATGATCCACGTGTTTTGTGCCGATATGATTTGCCCTAAAGCCTGCTTGATTGAAACGTTTTGAGCTTACCTGGTGTCTAACTTGGTTTGCTTAGGGACAAGCAAACGGTTAAGTGTGGGGGTGTTTGATAGACCGATAATTATACATGTTTTCACCCCTTTTCTGTAGCCGTTTGAGATGTGGATTCTAGTGTTTTAAGCCGATATCACGCTAGGGTGTGTGTTTGTGTCATATTTCAGGTCCCGGCGTTGAAATCGAGGCGGAGGAACGAGTTCTGGGTCGAAAGGAGCGAAGTTGGGACAAAGTAAGCCGCAAGAGGAAAATACCCGGTCAGGTGGCCAAATACCTGACCGGGTATTCACTATTTTTGGGCGCCCGAGAAACAGAGAGGGGCCCGTGCAGATGACTTAAATCCCCGGTCGGGGATTATGGAAAGAGACCGGGGATTTTCCCTTGCATGAAACGGTGCGTTCCATTTATACCCGGTAGAGACCCAAAATACCCGACCGGGTATTTCGACCGGGTATCGCGATCAGGCAGCCAATTTAAGGAAGAAGAGGGCCAACATTGAAGGATTCCGAGTTTTTGAGAGAGGAAGCGATCCCTAGAGAGAGAAAGCGACGAACCAGAGTTCCCAAGTGCCATAGCTTGATCTTCATCACCATTGGACCCCGGCTTGAGCTTGGAGAAGTGCCGATTAAACGTCCAGGAGCAGAAATCCGTCTTCACAGTATGATTTCCGCGTCTGAATCTGCTTTTGCTTCTTTCTCTATGGAGTAGTTCCCCCATTCATCTGGGTATGGGGAACCCTAGATTTGTATGCTAGGTCTGATTGTATGAACCCAAGTACAGAGTTTGTGAATTGATTATATTCGATTGAGGTTTGAATGATTGAATGACTTGAATCCTGATCAAATTCCTGTTGTTTCTGCTTTGACCTAGAATGAGAATATCTGCCTAGGTTGATAGAGTATCCTTAATCGAAGGTGGCGAATTGGTGACTTTAGTCGAGGAGCCAATTCGCTATTCTGTACCGAATTCAATTCGGTAGTGGAGGTTTGGTACGATAGGGCCTCAATCTGTTTACTCCGGTGGAGGTTAGTCGCCCGCTAGAGACTCAGATTGAGAGGGTCTGAAGACCTTTAGTCGAGACTTCAGACTATTTAAGAACCTTCCGCAGTATAACTTTCATGAAAACTGAACTTGGTAAATTGCAATACGACTTAACTGCAGTCTAGGGGGAACCATATCCGGGTGACCTCTCTTGACTTGACAACAACCGTTTAACTTGCTTTGTGTTTTTGTTTGCTTGAATCTGCACTAAAAGTTCACTGCTAGATAACGAGAATTCACCGAGTAGTCATCACATCTAGGACCCGGGTTGACAATAAAACCCGAACCCGCTATACTACGCTTTAGGAAGTGGTTACACTTGGCCATTTTCTAGAGTGACAGTAGGAGTGAGTCAGCCACCAACCAAACAAAGAAACAAATCTTTGTAGGAATGGAGCGCCACCAAACGGACTCAAAAGGAAAATCGGGAACACCGGTGAGCTCCTCGCCAGTCAAGAACCTGTACATGGAACGAATAGAGAAGGAAACTTCCGGACAGGGAAGCCAAACCGGCCTAGGAGGCCCGTTAGTCACACGACTGGAGCCCAAAGAATTAAGGAGATCCATAAGAACAACCCTTTCCCTTTCCGCCCCCCTCTAAGATTATTAAGCAAAGGAACAGACCAACAGAGACTCTCACCTGTGAGGGATATGGCATCGGAGACCCTGGCGCTCGGGAAGCAAGAGGCGGCAGCAACCCTTGGGAAAGCATCAGCGAGCACAACACCTGGGATCCAACAATCATGCCAAAGGGAGACCCAATCGCCACTATCGGGTTCAATACTAGTCATTCTCCAAAAATTATCATACTCCTTAGAAATATTAGCCCACACCGAACCAGAGAAACCTTGCTTGCATCTCGCAGTGCCCCACTCAGAAAGATGGTTCGAATATTTGCAGGAAACCAAACCCCTCCACCAACTCTCCCTTTCCGTAGCGAAGCGACACAACCACTTCCCCAACATTGCTCTATTAAAAGCCGCCAAGTCCATAATACCAAGGCCGCCCCGAGAAAAAGGGGCTTTGCATGTATCCCAAATCATCAAAGGCATTTTTTGTCTATCGCCCGATCCACTCCACAAAAACCTTCTTTGGGTACCTTCCAGACTTTTGATAATCGAGGAGGGAGCACGGAAAAGGGAGAAGTAGTAAACAACCTGGTTCGAGAGCACCGCCTTAATCATGGTCAATCTGCCTCCGAAAGAGAGATACCTGCCTTTCCATCCTTCGAGCCTCTTCATGTACTTGTCGATAATAGGATCCCACAGCGATACTGCGTTAGGCTTTGCCCCTAAAGGAAAGCCCAAATACCTGGAAACCTCATTACTCCAGTTACACCCAAAGATAGAAGCAAAAAAACCAGGATCCGGAACATCCCCAACAGTGAACATAACAGATTTATCCAGATTAATCCTAAGCCCTGTGACAACCTGGAAGCAGACAAGAGTAGCAAGGATGTTAACAACCTGCTCATACTCTGCATCAGAGAAAATTAAAGTATCGTCAGCAAACAGCAAATGAGTGACCTCCCCCCCCCCCCCACCGCTCTCCTCGTTCATGCAGAAACCATGTATTTTCCCATTTGCTCTAAGCTTCGAGATCATAAAAGAGAGCACATCCATAATCAATGTGAAGAGCCCCAGCGACAAAGGGTCTCCTTGCCTCAAACCCTTCTGAGTATCGAAAAAACCTTTTGATTCCCCATTCACAAGGACAGAGATTTTTGGACTGCACATAGTACCCTTGATCCACTTATGCCACTGATCAGAGAAACCCAAGTGAGGGAGGATTTGAAACAGGCAATTCCAGTTAACATTGTCGAACGCCTTTTCAATGTCCAACTTGAACATCAGACCCGGTTTCTTGCTTTTCTTTCTGCTGTCAAATAATTCAAAAGCGATTAAGCCGGCATCACCGATCTGCCTACCCGGAACAGATGCGTGCTGGAACTTGGAAACAATCCGAGGAAGGACGCCACCCAGCCTTCGAGAGAGAACGTTACTCACCAGCTTGTTAAAACTCCCCATCAGGCTAATAGGCCGCAAATCCTTAATATCTTCCACCGAATCTTTCTTAGGAACAAGACAGATGAACGAATGAGTGATGCTATTAGGCAGATACCTAGAATTAAAGAACTCCCCGAAAGCATTCATCACATCAGCCTTAATCAAGCCCCAACACTTTTTGTAGAACTCCCAAGTGAACCCATCAGGTCCAGGAGCCTTGCCACCATCACACTCTGCAATACTTTCCCAAATCTCCAACTCCGTGAAGGGCCTACTAAGCAAAAGGATATCAGCCTCGTTGAGCTTGTTGCAGTCGTAAACACTGGGGAAAGGACGAGATTTAATATCCTCTCGAAAGAATCCAACATAGAAGTTCACAATCCCATTGGCAATTTCATCCCTTCCTTCAGTGAGAACCCCATTGATTCTAATACATCCAATGCAATTCACCTTTCTCCTGAAGTTCGCCATTCGATGAAAAAACCCTGAGTTCCTATCTCCTTTTTACAGCCCCAGTTCCTTGGACTTCTGCCGCCACGAAATCTCCAGGAGATCAATAACCTTCCCAATCTCAACGAGCAAGCACTCCCTCTTATTAGACTCCTCAATCATCAAGCACCGCGACTCTTCCAGCTGGTTAATGTCATGCACTGCCATAGTAAGCTCCTCAAGCTTCTTCTTCATATCCCCGAAAACCTCCATGTTCCAGACCTTAATCTTGCTTTTAAGAACCTGTAGTTTCCTAGACCACCGAAAAACCCATCCATGACCCTGAATCTGCTCCGCAAGCCCAGAATTTAGATCAGTGGAAAACCTGCCATCCTCCAACCACATATTCTCGAACCTCCAAGGCCTGTGTACTCTGACACTCTCACCCCATCTTAACAGCAGTGGATTGTGATCCGAAATAATACGCTCAAGAGCAGAGAGAGAGCAATCCGGGAATAACTCATCGAAACTAACAGAAACAAAAGCACGATCAATCCGAGAGAGGCAGTTGCTATCTCCTCCTTTGCACCAAATGAAATTACCCCCCCCCCCCCAAGAGGGAGCTCCAAGAAGCCGCATTCATCAATCACATCATTAAATTCACCCATAAGGTTATTGTTACGTCTAGCACCCCTATAATCATCGTGACATCGCACCAAATTAAAATCACCCACAATGCATATAGGATCCTGACAACTCTGACCGAGAGCACGAAGATCACTGATAAAGTCAAGTTTTTCCTCCCTCTCCTGCGGCCCATACACCACAACCAGATGCCAAGTCTTATGCGTCTCAATTTCTTGGAACTTGACCTGAAGAAAAAACCTGCCCACAGAGCTTGCGAGCGCATTGACAAATAATTTATCCGAGAAGACAACAATCCCACCAGAGCTGCCATCCGCATCTTTGGTCGCCCACCCTGCATCCGAGACCCCGCCCACACTGCGGATCAAAGACTCATCACAGATACTCCATTTTGTTTCCACCAATCCCACAATTTTGGGTCTCCTGTCGCTAACAAATCGCTTAACTCTGGCTCTTTTGTCCCTGTCGCCAAGCCCCCTCACATTCCAAACTAAGACTTACATATCCATGAGAAGCAAAATAACCCATCAATCATCCCTCCTCGCTCGCCGACGAGGCCCTAGGGGAGCCGCCACAGTCGGTCCGAGACGACGTCTTTCCATTTCCAGCTTTGTTCTGCACGGACGAACCTTTCTCTGGGGTAGGTCCTTGGCCTGGCTTCTAATAACCCGCTCAACTTCATCTTGGCCTCCATCACCATCCAACGAAAACATAACCCCCAAATCAACACTTATGGACTCCAAAGTGCCCAGATCAAAGGGAAAAACATCTTGACTCCAAAACCTAGGCTGACTATCAGCAACACAAGACGGGGAGGGGAAATCAAAATCAGGGGGGCTCCCAACCTCACGGTCCGATTGCAAAGGGGAGAGCGACTCCGCAACATTCCGCAGGGACTCCGGAGGAGAACCCTCTGCCGCCCCCTGACTGCCCTCCAACATCTCAACACGACTAGAGGGGGAAGAATCCTCTTCAAAATAGATTTGAATAACACCTGGAGAAGGACAGTGAAACACCACCGATATGCCTGAGAACGGCTGCATCATCTTAGAAAATAAAGCCGAAAAGATCCTCCCTGAAACCACAGGGCAAAAAGAAAGTGATAAAAGGGACTGAACCGGTTTACTCGGACGCATACATCTTAGCTCCGACAGAAAAAACGGACCAGGGAATCGCACAAGCCCATCGACAAACTACCAGGCATGGGCCCAGAAGCAGACCCATTGCTATAGATAATTAAACCCGGCCCAGCAGAAATAGACGCAGGCTCGACGAACCTGTCGACCGACTCTGGAGGGGTGGGCCTGAGTAGCGGCCCAAATTTCCTAACCCACACCTTCTTAACCCGTCCTGAGAGATCTCCAACCCTAATAGTGTTTGAGCCTCCCTGTACGCCCCCATGCATGCTCGAAGATCCCTCTAAAGATGGGCGACCCGCCCTCAAAGTACGACGCTTCAAATTCCTCATAGAAACTCGCGAGACAAACTGGCTTTGGGAGCTACCCGTGCTTTGAGAAACCCGAAAATCCTCATGACCTTTCGACTTCTCCCCTCTCTTCCCTTGCTCCGACTCGCGCCTCCCTCCCGACAGAGACGCCGGCAAAACTTTAACATCCACGGTGAACCATTGATCTTCATAAACCAGGGGGATTGAAGATGATGTAGATCCCTTTGCAATCACCTTCATGCGAACACAAGAGGATGCCCAAGAATTCCAATCTATATCCAACAAATTTCCACAGAACTCTCCAATAGTTCTGATAAGATTGACGCTCTTAAGGTGCAGAGGGATTCCGAAGACCAACATCCAACAAGCATCATCCAACCGTGGAGCCCCCTCGTCTATCTCCTTCCACAAATAAGTTGAGACAAGGAAGTTCTTAAACTGATGACCAGCCAGACTATTAATCCTCATTAGTTCGCGTAAGCTTGGGCAGATTAGCAGCCATCTACCATCGTCAAGTTCCTCCAAACCAAAATTAGAATCACTGGCCCAAGTCTTCTCTGCCCATCTCCTGAAACCGCTCAACTGGTCCCTCGAGAAAACTTCGTGGCCAACCGATTGAAACCTGATAACCAAGCAACGCTCCAGCGTACCGGACCTTTCCGAGACTCCTTCCTGACCCACTCTAATAAAAATTCCACTTGAATCCTGTACAATAGAGCAACTACCAACTCCATAGAAGCCCCCACCTCTGACAACATCTGCATAAGATTTTCGCAGAGTATTAAGATTTGGATGTAGCGGGGCCTCAGGCAGATCAGTCGCTGACCCCAAAGTCTCAAACATATCGACACGCAGTTGATGCTCGTCATGATAGAACTCTTGGACGAGGGCGATAACACCTGCCAGCCTTTCGATCTTCCTGCCGCTGGGATGAGGACCTTGAAAAGTCGCCCGCTCGGACTCTGCTCAGAGATTTGCAACTGCACACCCTTCTTCCCAAACCTCTTCCCGATATGGATCGAGCGCAGAACGCTCTTCTTCACACACCCTGTAGGAAACCTCCACTGCCTCATTGACGCCGTTTGTAGCACCCCTTGAAGCCACGCTAGCTGAACTTCGTCCATCACAATGGACCATTTTTTGTTCGATTCTTGCACCGAAAGCCTGTATCCGACCGCATCTCCAAACAAACCTCTGCACAAACAAACAACCCTGGATCCCAAATGCGAAGCCCGCCGACACCTCTCTCAAGAGCCGCCACCATCTCCTTGCTCCGACACCTGGGACCTACAAACAGAAGAAGAAAACCATATCCCCCTCGGAACCCCGGTGCTCACCCTCTCGGAATCTCTCACACACCTGCTCTCAAAAGATCTCCGACTCTCAGAACTCATATTTTACCGTGATTAATTGTTAGTCACGATAAATTGGGAGTTTCGTAGATTACTGCATTGGTTTTCCTGGAAGAGTTATTTCGACTTCACTGTACTGTGGTCTGTGCTAATGAATGATGTTTTAGAGAAATGGAATCGATCTAGTGGTAATTACCAGGATATATGATGAGCAGAATTCGATCAATACTAATTGTTCCAATACAATAAGAAATTTTTGACAAAAATAAAATAAATACAATAAGAACTAGCCAATGATGAGAAGAAAAAAAAAAAAAAATCCCCTACTCTTAATTCCCCTTCACCGGTTCAGTGGTGAGTCCAAATCCAAAGGGGAAGAGCGGGTCATAATGTTTATCCCCAACATTCATAGGCAGCTGATCCACTCTCCTAAACCACGTCCTCGGAAGCTTCCCAGTGAAGCCATAGTCACCAAACAACACATCAGTCACGCCTCGACCTTCGGTGCCGGGGAGCCAAGCCGCCACGAGGCCCTCCATGGAGTCAACGTACGGCTCGATCACCAGCGGACGGCCGGAGATCAAAACGACGACGCATTTCACCGATCCGCAGACATTCCGAATGGTGGCTGGGCCGGGATCCGGTATGGTCAGGTTGAGGTTGTCTCCTCCCGTTTCCACATAGGGATGCTCTCCCACTACCACAATGGCGTAGGAGAAGTCGTTGGCCTTCACGTAGTCTGCTGTTGGGGCTTCCTCGTACGTGACTTTGGTGGTCGGGTCGACTGCGGCTTTTATGGCTGTCAGGATTGTCGTTCCTGCAACAACGTAACGTAACAACCATGCATGCACGTACGTTAAAAAAAAAAATATGACCAAGTCTTCAATGTTGGATGCATTTAATTAGTAATGTCAAGAAGAACCAGCTGATTCCAGCGATTCGATTCGAGTTGTTGGGAGAGATTCAATATCGTCTATTATCGCGTTTACGTACCAGGGGTTCTATCGTTGCCACTGAATCCTTCCCATTCGATGGTCCATCCACCACACTGGTAGCCAAGATTGTGAGCGTGGTAGCCTGCGACCAGTATCTTGGGAGCCTTCTTAGGGAGTGGCAGGATACTACTACCGTCTTTGCCGTTCTTCAACAGCACAAGCGATTTCCTCACTGCTTCTCTCGCCAGTTCTCTATGCTCCTGTTTAAAAGTAGCTAGTGCGTGTATTATGATATGAATCTCCAATTCGAACCTACTTAGAAAGGAAAGGCAAGGATGAGTAACTTACTTGCTTGCCAAGCTCATTGACCATGCTATCGTCAGCCATTGGGTTGTCAAACAGGCCCAACACGAACTTAACTCTCAGGATTCTCCGTACGGCGTCGTCGATCCGGCTCATCGGTATCACCCCTTTGTTCACCAGTAGGGTTAGGTCATCGATGAACTCCGTGTAGTTTAGTGGAACCATCACCTGCAAACACATTAATGATGAGTTGTTATTATCATCAGACAAAATAAGCTGCATGCATGCATGCACGCATGTTTACTACGTCGAAACAGATGAAGATTGGAGTTATCATGGTATATACCATGTCAAGTCCAGCAGCAACTGCTTTTTCTACGGAGTAAGTGTAGTTGGCGTGTGGCGGGTCGGTGAGCCTGTCGATTCCTTGCCAGTCAGAGATCACAAACCCCTGAAACCAAATTAAAGCAACAAACAACACCAACATCGATCGATCGATCAGATTTGCCATGCAAAAACATATATATATATATATATATATATATATACACTCATCCATCGATGGATGGATGGATTACAAATCGTGAATGATTTTCTCAAGTACCCTGAACTTGAGAGTGTCCTTGAGGTAGGAGGTGACGAGGTTACGGTTGGCGTGCATCCGGACGCCGTTCCAACTGGAGTAAGAGACCATGACGGTGGAGACACCTTTGACGATGGAGGCGAAATAGGCAGGCATGTGGATCCTTCTCAGGCCGTTCCAGTCGATGATGGTGTTGTTCTCGTTGATCCCCTTCACCGTCCCGCCGTCGCCCACAAAGTGCTTTGCGCACGCTGCCACTTTCCTCCTGTATCAGTATCAATCAATTATTTCACCCCCTCCAAGAATGTTAGCCACTACTTTCTGCCTCCCTTTTTTTTGATTTTTTTGAACATATTTGTTGTTTGTGTATGTTTTTTTTAAATGACATTTGTGTATGGTTTTTGTCCTCATGTATAAAGGCAATTAATTAACTAATAGGTTACTCAAGTTAGCTACTAGAAATCACAGGTGTCGATAAAGAAAAAAAGGGGGTTTTTTTATAGGAAGCTAATGCCCACATAAAAAAAATGGTGCGCGCAGATCTTTCAACTTAAAAATCATGCACCCAATTTGTGTTATAAAAAAAAAAAAAAAAATCCAAGCAGGCAAGCACCCAATAACCCAAGAAAAAGAAACGTACACGCATATATACATCATTCATTTGGTGAAGGAGACAATCGCAAGTGGGCAACTATGGTGGTGCTTTATCAGTAAACATAACAAATCGACTGAATTTAAACCTAATCTAAATAAGCCAACAAGCCGATCAAAAATGAAGTACCAATCAATCAAAATAATGAATTAGGGTAATTTACTCTTAATTAACGCTACCAATATTAGTTGTAGGGATCACAATTTAAATCATGGGGTGGGCTTCCCCTAGCTCCTACCCTTTAAATAAAAAGAAGAGAGCAAATTAAATTAATTAATAATATATATATATATATTGGATTGGAGACTTACTTTCCAGCAACATAAGGGACTCCCTTGCGGGCGTCAGCAGGAACATCTCCTTGCAGGCCTGGGATTAGCTCCGTCATTGCTTTCACTATCTCCGAATCCTCGCTGTAGCTCTCGTAGCACCGCCCCCATCTCGGATCTCTGCACACCTGCAAACGTAACTCCACATTATTCTTTCTGTCAAAGACCGATTCTTACGCATATTATTAACGGAACATCACAGGATAGACTTGAATTAAACCTAATAATGAACTCACCGCGATACAGGGCGCAAAAGCGTAAGGAATTCCGGTGGCTCTCATTTCCAGCGCCGTCGCTGCTCCTATCTTCTTTACCAGCGCTGGCTCTCTGTCCAAAACAATCATCCAGCTCATCACGCGCCGCCACAAATAATAAAAGGAAGGGGGGATCGGAGTGATGAAATTGAAAACTGATCACTCAGTCACCTGGTAGCTCCGAGGCCGATGTTGTGAGGGAAAATGGTGGCATTGTACACATTGTTGTGACCATGAACGGCGTCGATCCCGTAAATCAACGGAATCCCTAGCCTGGTCGACATGGCGCCGCTTTGGTACTCGTTGACCATCTTGATCCATTCCTCCGGCGAAGCTTTCTGGCCCGGGACGCTTCCTCCTCCGCTCAATATACTTCCTGCATGTCCCTCCAACCAATAAAGTTGCAGTCTTTTTTTTTTTTTGCCCTAAAAAAAACAGAGCAGAAGCAGCTCGATCTGTTTTTTTCTTATCGTCGTCTTACCGATGAAGTAGTTTTTCACGACGTCAGCTGAAGCGACTTTGCGATCAATCTGAACCATCTGGCCGATCTTTTCCTGCAATGTCATCCGCCCCATCAAGTCCCTGATCCGGCCCCCCATCGGTTTCGTTGGATCTCTGTAACGCCGGTACTCTGCATCTGCCGCCTCCAAAAACAGAGCAAGCACTAGTATTCCAACCACCAAAACCGGACTCTGTTTTTTCCTCGTCGCACCGATTCGGATCATTCCCATCGTGACGCGGCCGCCCGACACACGGATTCTGAACAATGGGAAAATGAAAGAAATCAGAAAAAACACAGGCACGAGTGAGGCGAAGCTCCGGAAAGAAGTTACACGTACGGGGGAAAATTACAGAGAAACGTCCTAAACGAGAATACAGGAGGAACTGAGAGTTCAGTTAAGTGAAGGAGTTGATGGAGATGGGATTGAGATGGTTTGTTTGCACGAATCCACGTATATATAACTACTGATCTTCTTGTATTTTTTTTATGTTTCAAGATAAATACGCAATTGGATTGAAAGTTATATTTGGTGGGTTTGAATAGGTAATCCTCACTCGTCAGCTACCGTTTTTCAGTTTGCTTCTTATCTTGTTTTCTTTTACTTTTCCCATTCCGCTCATTTCTTATCATTTTGTCCCCACTTTTGGTGGGGGATGTTTATCCTTGCCTAACATAAGAAAAATAGGAAAATCTACTATTATTATTTACAGCAACGTGAAGATATTGGAAGGGTTGTAAAAAAAAAAAAAGATATTGGAAGGGTACTAAACAGATCATCACAAGAAGGGGAAAAAATAAAAAAAACCGTTTAGCTTTTTGTTATTGGGTGCAATCAACGGACAATATCCACATTTTTTAAATACAATTTTTAGTTCATATGTGACATTGACCTTCACATCAATCATTTTCACTACATATCGATTTCATTTTCACTACATGAATGAAATTCACTTTCTATTTTATATGGTCCACGCAACTAATTTTTTTTAATACAACTATACATTTTTATCTATATTTAATACTTTATTCTGATCCGAACTTAATCAAATTTGGCCTATAATTTTAGAAATTGCTATCCTGACCTCAATTATACACAATATAGACTAATTTGGCTCGACTCGTGAATTTTCGTCAAATTAGACGGCCAACATCATTAACCGTTAGTGAATCAACATGCTATGAATTTTCGTCAAATTAGACGGCCAACACCATCGACTCGTGATTTATCTTCTTCTCCTTCCTTCCTAATCCTCTGCTCCTCACTTACTGTATACTTCGTTAAACCCTACAATCTCATAGAGTGGAGCCCCTCTTACAAATATGGAAATCTCCATATCTGCCAATGCCAGGAGGGATTGAAGAAACATCGCAACGGCGGCGATAATGAATCATGCTATATATGTTATCCGTCACTCCTTCTTCTTCCTCTTCTGCCTCCACGCTAGCGTTGTTCTCTCATTTCATCAACCCTTCGCATCATCGTCTCACTCCCTCCCCTCTCGTCGGTGTGTCAGAGTATCCATTCCTCGTAACTCAGCCGCTTAGGTCGGCTAGTTCCGCTGTAATCCTGGCTGGAGCTGTTGCGGCTGGGTATGTTTTGGGGCTGCAATTCGGAGGGAACCACCACAACCCTTTAAATAAACATCTGACGATAATCAGGATAAACCTCGAACGCATGAATAAAAACCATAATCCTTTCAATGCACACGGAAAAAAACAACTAAGTAAACCATCCAACAAAAACAGAGAAATCACACTAATAACATAAATCACCACACCAAAAACAGAAACTGAAAGCACTCACATCTTCTATTGTTGAACACCTTCCAATTTGGTCTCTAAATGAGGTAACTTTGGAACATCTCCTTCAAGCTCCTCTATAACTCTTTTCTCTTTTCTACTATTGACATTCCCATTCTGCATCACTTGAGTTGACGTTTTTGCTTCATTCTCTACTGCATTTGCATGATAAATTAAATATGTCTCTGGATCAGTACTTCAAACATATTGGTAGCTTCACTATACAATCTATGCTTGCATGTAGGTATCGGAAGCTTCCGGCAACAGTTCGCCTGGTCAAGAATCGAAATCTGAAACATATACAAACATACAAAAGTCAATAACCACCACGGAAGCATACCAAAAACCTTTTACCATTCACCACAAATATAGGAAAGCATCCCACGGTAGGGGGGAAAGTGAAACCAAACCACAAACAATCTGAAGCACATCACTTGGGTACTTTGAAGGTCATTGCACAGCTTCTACCATACTATGATTGAAATTATCAGCCACGTGCTTACAAAAATTGTACTTAATAAAATCATCAAGTATATCATATTGCAAAAATCGAAGATAACTAAGGTTGGCCTTCTGATTGGCGATGGGACACAGCAACACCTCCATTGCCTACAAAACAAACAGGTCCCTCCAGTTCTTCATGTCCTTCTCTTCTTCCCAACAAATCTTGATGTTGCCAGAGTTTCTTTCCCTTTCCTCGTGTTGGATAGTCCTAATTTAACACCTAAGGCATTTCTCTATGCCTTAAAAGCAGCCAAATCAACATCATAACCCATAAATCCTGTCCACATACTCCTCTCCCATTTTGAAGATGAACAATGCATGCCAGAAAAATCAAGGACGAAAACAACAGAACGCATACCTAAAAACTAAGTTATAGTGAACGATGTAACACCCTAATTAACCCGGCTGGTACTACTTTTACTAAAATGCCCTTGATAAATAAAATATTCCAATCTTAAATTTCAGCGAGAAGAATTTTCATAAATAAAATACTGAAAAACACACACTTGGAGTTTAAAGCAACGCCCTAACACAAGGGCAAACTCAATACTTAAAATCTCAACATGATCTCCAGTCTATACTCATAATCATAAATGTAAATAACTAATAATCTCTAATGTTGTTGCTACTGAAAACCTTAACTAAGCATCCTCCGTGACGCTTATACTGCTCTCCTCTAGCTACCTGCCCTCGAACTCGCTGCTCACTAACGACTCCTCTAGCTCTTCAAACTGGTGAGTGAGATGGGGTCAGTCTACGCCCTTACGTTTAACATCTTATTAGTACTTGATCACTTTACTTAACTTAGTGGAAGTTGTTTTGTACTTCCACCATTAAAAACCTTGACTCTTAAAACTGTATCCTTAAAGCTCAAATCTCCACTTAAATTTTTGACTGACACGGGGATCCCTCACTAGCTAGTCCGGTTGCCAACTCATACGTATGAGAAGCCATCATGACTTTCCTTAAACTTATCGTGGAAGACTCTCTTTCCACGATTCTCAAGAGCATAACTGCTGCTCATCTTAAAAGTCTCAAGAGCATAACTGCTGCTCTATCTCAACATCTCAAATGGCAACGGACTGGCGCTAGTGACTAAAAACTCTTAAAACGATTTCACCTTCTTGAAGGTGAATTATTTCTTTAAAAGAACTTGTTTCTTAAACTTTAACAATAACTTATACTTAAGAAAATTTCAAAGCAAATAACAACCATTCACTTCAAGTCATAATTCAAACAAGGCACATATCATCAACCGTAATCATGCAATCTCAAACATGAATCAAATAATGCACATACATAACGTAAATCAATACTCGAAAAATACTCAAGGAGGAAAATTCTTGAAGAACAGGTAAGACATGACCTATAAATCCTTCCCACCATTCATTGGCAACCTCCAATGTTTTGGTGGTTTCTTAACCCCTCACATCACCTATGCACCTTGGACGTATATCGGAAAAATAACTATCTACATTATTCGGTATACGAGACGTTAATGCTTCTCTTGAACCCCAAGGTTACATATGGCGGATTATCCTCTATCCAGTCAGATGGTAAAACTCCTTTAACGTAACTCTCGTCCGGAGTTGACCTCATAGGTCACCTAGGTCCTTGTATCTCCTAACTTTGCATTTCTTACTTTCTTTACTCATGACCATTCTTCCTGATGTTCCTTGCTAGTTCTAGATGTCCCTCGTCCTCGATGTAGTCATCTGGGTGCCCATATTCTCTTTTCACTTAAGTAGCTTGACCGATAAGGTTCTTGCTTCGACCATTCTTGAAAACCATGATTCCATCTTAAAAATGATCGAAATTTCGCGATGGACTTCCCAGGGATCAATTGTTATCTACTGGTAGTCAACCTAATGCTTCTTTGTTGTTTGTTGCATTCCTGCTTTGGCATGTCTTAGCTATCTTCCTTGACGCATACATCGCCCGGTCGATGACCACCATTTTCTTTCTATAACGTCCTATGGTGTCCTCTTGCTTCTTTACTTTTACTGTCCTTCTGTTGTTGCTTTGTACTATATTTGGTTACCAACCACCGTTGAGTATCTTCTCATTTTTTTTTTTGGGTCCAAGCTTCCAATAGAGGATTTCCCTTGGTAGGATTTAACATACCTCATTCACGTCATTGTCCCGATTGATGCTTGTATATGGCCTTAATCCCTTAGTCTGGGTTCTTAGTGGCTTAACTGAACGTGTTCTTACTTATCCTTAACTAACCGCTTCCTCTAGATGACATCCTACTATGCCGCTCTCACCCAGAGTGGGGCACCTTGGATAATGTAACTTAATGATTTCCTCCTTCCCGGTAATGCTTTTCCTCGTCTTGCTCCACTATGCAGTTTCGTGAACTCGAGTCACCTACAGAAATTCTCAATCCTTTATCGGAACTTCCATGTGCTTCCTCGAATTCTCTATCATTCATTAGAACATTTATTGAACGTTCCAGTTACTTGTCTATACTCGGTTGGCTTAATGACTTACTCCTATAGCTAGTTTCGAGACTTCAGCTCTTAGCCTTCTAGTACCAACTTATTAGAGAGGTTCCTCCTTATGTCACCCCTCATGTACCCTAGTCGGCTAGGTGCTCCCTCCATTTAGGATAGGACAATCCCATAACAGATCATCGTGAACTCTTGCATTCCCCTTTCAACGGTCCCAACATCCTCTTGACCCTTTTGTGATCTGGGTAGTTTGTAGGGTCTCTAATAACCTCTTTCTAACTCGGGGTTATCTTGGTATCCAACTCACGCACTGCAGAGAAGCGGTTCTCTATTCGTACTACCATTTACTAGCTAACTGTTATTCCCTCTCACATTCCACGTCTTTTCTTATGTATTGACTCCCCACTGTCTTCTACCACGCATGCTTTAGACTTTGGTGGCACTTTCCTCCACGTCTCGTCCAATGGTGGTCGTACCGAGACCATAACTTGTCCTCTACATCATTTATCTCGTTGCTTGTCTTGTTCCTTCTAAAGGGTTTTCATCGGCCTATCTTCCCAGGGTTATATACCATCATCTCGAGTGACGTAGTTTATCTACAAGGGTTCCTTTATCGTCATTATGTAAATGACCATGACTCCTCTCCGTCTTGACCTTTTGACTTCTTGACGTCCTTTCATACCCCCTGTAACCTACTTATTTCCTCATTTGCTT